AATAAATAAATAAATAAATAAATACAATTTTAATATATGTTTTTTGTGGTCTTAATGTGAGTGTTTCATTTTTATTTTTTACTATTTATTACAATAATTTTTATTTATTATTTGTATGTATTTATTTTTTAAATAATTTTTAATATTTATTTTAATTGTAAAAATGCATGTTTTCATATAAGGCTCAAAGTCCTGGCCTACATTATTTCCACAGCACCATTTGTTGTACTGAATTTAATTAATGCAGAATTAATTTAATTTAGACAGGATGATTTTAATTTCAGTATTAGTCTTAAAAATCTTTAAAAGGCCGTAAAAATAAAGAAACAAACTTTAAAATCAACATGAAATCCAAATGGACTCTATTTATTATCTTAATATATGTTTTTTTGTGTTATTATGAATCATTCGTTTTTCATTATTTTCTATTATTTATTAGTATAATGTTTTACTAATCTTTTTTTATTTATTTAGCATTTTATAATTTTTCATATATATATTAAACTGGGTTTTATTTTTATACTTTCTGTTTTCATTTTAATTTTGGTTAGTTTTAGTCATTTTTTGTTGTGTCTTTCTCATTTTTATTAGTTTTAGTTTTAGTTATTTTAGTACTTTTTTATTATTTATTATTATAATTGTTTTAGATTATTTTTATTAATTTAATATTTAAAAAAATTTTAATATTTATTTTAATTAAAAAAAATATTGTATCTGGTGACATTCATCAGAGAACATTATTCTGAAGTCAAAATTAAATAAATAAATAAAAATTCTTGTTTTCATATAAGTCCTGGCCTACATTATTTCAACAGCAGTTTTTGTTGTACTAAATTTAATGCATAATTATTGTAATTTAAATTTTGTTTTATTTTAATTATTTTAATCATTGTATCTGATTGTATTACATCCTGAAAAAAGGCCCTAATAAACAAATGAATAAATAAATACTCATATATTTACAGCAAAAAATCCAAGCACACACACACACACACAAACACACACACACACACACACACACAAACACACACACACACTCCTCATTAAAAGGGCTCATATCATGTATTTATCTTTTTATTTTTTCCCTGAGGTTCACTTATAATGTTAGCCAAGTTTCAAGTTTCAAGTCATGTTTCTAATTATTGCTTTACAACTGCTACACAGACACAAACACACACCGTGTTTCACTAGTTCTCCTGCTGTTTAGAGATAACAGCATCGGTCCTAGTTCCTCCTCATTACCTCATCGAGAGGATGAGACGTTTCTGAACAAACAGAAGCAGTCGCATACAGGCCTGAACGCTTGAAGCAAGCATGAATGTGTCGGGCTGTAATTATCACGGCGTCAGAGATGTGACATCTGCCCTCAAATTAGGAGAACATGTCAAGCTTGCCAAACGCACACAGACTGAGACAGACTCACTGAAGTGCTGTCAAATATTCGCCGCAGGGGGAAACATACAGCAGCGTCTCACGGTACGATCCTCAGGTTAACACGACTCAATAGAGCAAGAGCTCAGCGATCGTGATTCGGGAAAACTCAACTTTTTATTTCATGAAATAAAAAGAATATTATATTATATTATAAATAATATTTTTTTTTTTGCGTAAAGAAAATAAAACCTATTTTTATGACCAATAAGATTTTTTAAAAATTAATTTGTGCTGATTTATTTATTTTATCAGGCATCAGAGATTAATTAATTTTATTTCATGAAATAAAAAGAATATTATATTATATTATAAATAATATTTTTTTTTTTGCGTAAAGAAAATAAAACCTATTTTTATGACCAATAAGATTTTTTAAAAATTAATTTGTGCTGATTTATTTATTTTATCAGGCATCAGAGATTAATTAATTTTATTTCATGAAATAAAAAGAATATTATATTATATTATATATTTTGCGTAAAGAAAATAAAACCTATTTTTAAGACCAATATGATTTTTAAAAAATTAATTTGTGCTGATTTATTTATTTGATCATGCATCAGTGATGACTTAATTTTATTTCATGAAATAAAAAGAATATTATATTATATTATATATTTTGCGTAAAGAAAATAAAACCTATTTTTAAGACCAATATGATTTTTAAAAAATTAATTTGTGCTGATTTATTTATTTGATCATTTTTTTATTAATTTGTGCTGATTTATTATTTAAACAAATTATTTATTGTAAAGTCAGTATACAGCTTTAAAAATCAAAATGTGTGTGTATATATATATATATACATATATATAACAAAAAATAATTGTAAAAATATTTCACTATAAAAATAATAATAAAAGAGTGAAATATTTTTACAATTATTTTTTGTTTTATAAAAAATAATTGTAAAACTATTTCACTATTTTTACTATATTTTGATCAAATAAATGCAGTCTTACTGAGCAGAAGAGACTTCAGTAAAAACATGAATCATAAGTGAGCAGGTGAATATTACATAACTATCAGTGTGAAGGAGCTGTGGGCTCTGATGTTGCTCCAGATGATCAGTACAGTATATAATGTGTGTATATATATATATATATATATATTTTTGTTTAATAAAAAATAATTGTAAAACTATTTCACTATTTTTACTATATTTTGATCAAATAAATGCAGTCTTACTGAGCAGAAGAGACTTCAGTAAAAACATGAATCATAAGTGAGCAGGTGAATATTACATAACTATCAGTGTGAAGGAGCTGTGGGCTCTGATGTTGCTCCAGATGATCAGTACAGTATATAAAACACAAGCAGAGACTGCAGACACATTCCTGGCTGTTTGAGAACCATATGATAATGTAAACCAGGCCGAGCAAAAATCTCATCCTGCAGAGGAAGGAAAACACTCAGACCAATTACAATGAGTGCTGCTTCTCTGACCTTCACAAACGAACAGACGCTTTCACATCCGTGAGAAAAGTGTGGGAGAGAGAAATCCTGTCGCCCCTTGTGTGATTTAAAGGGGTCCTATTATGCTTTTTCACTTTTTCAACTTTAGTTAGTCTGTAATGTTGCTGTTTGAGCATAAAAAAGATCTGCAAAGTTACAAAGCGTCAACATGAAATCCAAATGGACTTCTTTTACTATATATATGTAAATATCTAAATATGTGTCTGGTTTTATTGTGAATGATCCATTTATTTCTACTAAAAAATATTTATTATTATACTTTTTTCATTATTTTATCATTTGTAATATTTATTTTAAACAAAACAAATCATTGTATCTGGTGCACTTCCATCAGTGCATGTTATTCTGAAAAAAATGCTTATTTTCATCAGTTATTTTTGTAGCATTGAGATACTATTATAGCTTTTGTTAATATTTTGAAAGAGATTTTGGTTACACTTTATTTTAAGGTGTCCTTGTTACAGTGTAATTATACATTTAATTACTGAGTAATATTAATTAACTACATCTACTTACTATATGGTTAGGTTTTGGGTTTGGTTTAGGGTCACTAGCATGTAATTATGCATAATTAATTGTTATTA